TGATACCAAGAAGGATTTGCTTCAAGCCTTTGTTATATAATTGCCTGGCTTGATCCATCAGACATGAGAGCTCAATTACCGACGTTTGTATTCCGGAGAAGTAGCCTTCCGTAACCTACTCGGCAGCTGCGCTGGCTTTCTCCACCTATGTAACAGCTAATTCGAATAGCTTCTGGCAAGACTGATAAGACAAATGAGCCGGATATCCGAAATTCTGGCCTCCCTACTGAAGATGATAGGTGGAGACGATCGTCGTAGTCGTCCATCCTGAGACTGCCTAAATTGTCGCGTTCTTCAACCTCGTCTTCCGATTGACCGGAATATCCTCAGCACAAACCTTTTTAATCTATCTCGGACCATGCAGGTTCTCCAGGTTGGGGCGTTTACTTGGCACGGGGTAATTTCTGCAGCAATCATGCTTGGTGTTTTTTATTCCTTTCGTGTCTACAACTCCTGTATATAAACAGAAAATGGCTACTCTTTTCTTTCCCATGTTTCGCAACCCATACCTTCAATATGAAGCTATCTGCACCTCTTCTCGTCAGTTTAGCTGCTTTCTCTCAAGCTGTCACGGCGCTTGTCGCATTCCCTGGCGCCGAAGGTTTTGGCGCCGAAGCGATCGGCGGCCGCAAAGGCCAAGTCTACGTCGTTACCAATCTGAACGATTCCGGAACAGGCTCACTCCGTGATGCTGTTTCTGCGACTGACCGCATCGTTGTCTTTGCAGTCGGGGGCGTGATTAAAATCTCCGATCGAATCGTGGTTTCGAAACGTGTGACCATACTGGGACAGACTGCGCCTGGCGATGGCATCACAGTTTATGGTAATGGATGGTCTTTTTCTAATGCGGATGATGCGATTGTGCGATACATTCGGATGTATGTCTACGCTTTCTTCGGTGACCGTATATTGGGTGCACTTACTGACGTCTCTCTAGTCGCATGGGCAAGGGTGGCTCCTCAGGCAAGGACGCCATGGGCATCGCCGAAGGAAATAGGATGATCTTCGATCACGTTTCGGTCTCATGGGGACGCGACGAGACCTTCTCCATTAGCGGAACCGTTAGCAATATCACCGTGCAGAACAGCATCATTGCTCAGGGGCTGGAGACCCATTCTTGCGGTGGATTGATACAGACCGACGGTGGTGTTTCGTTGTTCCGTAACCTGTACATCGACAACAAGACGCGCAATCCCAAGGTCAAGGGCGTGAACGAGTTTACCAACAATGTCGTGTACAACTGGGGCGGTGGCGGGGGATACATTGCTGGAGACTCTGATGGTCAATCTTGTATGGACCTCTTCCTCATTTCGATGGCATCAGCTAATTGTCAGATGCCAATATCATTGGCAATTACTTTATCAGTGGTCCTTCCACATCGGTGACGGCGTTCACTCGTGGCAATGCAAACTTCCACGGGTACGTCGCAAACAACTACTACGACTCTGACCGGGATGGGACACTGGACGGCTCTGAACTCGGCGTGTCGTCGTCGAATTACGGTGGCATGGCAATCGTGTCGTCTAAATATAACTATCCAGCTGTGGCCTATACCATGACCCCAGCTGAGGCCGTGACCTACGTGACCAAATGTAAGTCTGTCCTCATCCGAGGGTACATCAGCTAACTCAACTCGACAGACGCCGGAGCATCCAAGGTTCGGGATAGTGTCGACACGCAGTTGATCGCGCAAGTACAGTCTTGGGGCACAAAGGGTGCATTGATCTCCGATGAAGCTACTATGGGAGGGCCAGGTACTCTGAACGGAGGCACTCCTGCGACGGACACTGATGGGGATGGGATCCCTGATGCAGCGGAGAAGCAGTTGGGAACAGATCCAAACACCAAAGATTCTATGAAACTGCACAGTAGTGGCTATACATATCTGGAGGTGTGGGCCAACTCATTGGTTCCGTCGACCTACCATTGACCATGTCATTGAAGTCAGTGCATTCGGAGTATATATGCTAAATGTATGCATTTTTTCCTTGATCCTTGCAGAATACGATCACAAGATCATGTAGATCATCGATGTAACGTAGATATTAGCCTAATCATGTCGGTACTGAAACCTTGTATAGACTCACCGGCTGACCGGAAGATTCCCATCTCGAGCATATAAACCCCCAGAATGACTGAGGTTATCGAGAAGGTCAACAGCACAGCACGGCAACACAATGATGTTCCTCTACCCAGTCTTGCTTTCCCTCATCTCCAGTGGAGGTATGTCAGCCCTTCTCTCTTCGGTTGCTATACTGACCAACCAGCCCTGGCTGCCAATTGCACCAGTCTCCCTTCATCTCCCCAGCTGAAGTCCATCACCACACTTCCCGATCCCTTCTCGTGGTATCCACTGCCGCAGTCCGGTCGTGTTGCCACTCTCTCCGATTGGCAATGCCGTCAGAGCCACATTAGCACACTCCTCCAGCAGCTCGAACTAGGCACCAAACCTTCTGCTCCCTCCAACGTAACCTCCACCTTTAGCCAAAACAAACTCACCATCACCGCCTCCAATGCCGGGCATACCATCTCCTTCACAGCAACAATCACCTATCCCTCTGGATCAGGAGCAGGACCCTACCCCGCGATGATCGCGGACGGGGGGCTGAGCATCCCCCTCCCACCGGGAGTCGCAACCATCACCTTTGACAACAGCCAGATTGCCCAGCAAAACGACCAAAGCAGCCGCGGCAAGGGCCTCTTCTACACTCTGTACGGCGCCAACCACACCGCCGGCGCAATGATAGCCTGGGCATGGGCCACATCGCTCATCATCGACCGTCTCGAAGCCACCCCCGCCGCGAGAATCAACACGGCCCGGATCGGTGTGACGGGCTGCTCGCGCAACGGCAAGGGGGCACTGGTGGCCGGCGCATTCGATTCGCGGATTGCACTCACCGTCCCGCAGGAGTCAGGCACGGGGGGATCAGGATGCTGGCGGCTGGCGCAGGCCTCAGAAGGCGCGCCGCAGAACGTGCAGACGGCGGGGGAGATCGTCCAGGAGAATGTCTGGTTCTCGACTGCGTTCAATGCGTATGCGAATAATCTCGACCGTCTCCCGTTTGACCACCATATGCTAACTGGGCTGATTGCCCCGCGGGGTCTGCTGTCCATCGACAATGCGGGTTATCAGTGGCTGGGGCCGTGGTCGTCGCTGGGGTGTATGGGGACGGCGAGGCTGATCTGGCAGGCGATGGGGGTGCCGGATAATATGGGGTACTCGATGTCTACGAATCATCCGCATTGCTCGTTTCCGGATCAGCAGAGGGGGGATCTGTTTGCGTTTATCAATCGGTTCTTGTTGGGGATGGATGTCAATACCACGGTGCAGAAGAACTATGCGGGGATTGCGTTTGATAGCAAACCGTGGGTGAACTGGCAAGTTCCTACTTTGACGTGATTGTGTCAAGTATTCAGTCTCTGTGTTTCTTGTTTCGGTGCTCTTCATGCTAATATGCTCGGTGCATCTGTTTTGTCTATAACTTGAGCTATCATGATTTTATGATTAATGATTCTTGTAGTCGGTTGCCCTGGCCACTACTCAGGCATCTTAAGTTTCCTAGTGTTCCCAGACCTGGCAGCCCTAGCTAAGGGAAAGGTAAAATCGGTCCTATTATCCACCCTAAGCTCCTTACCAGAGGACCCTTGGGTTTCTCCCACCTCAGCATGGACAGAGTGTGGCGGAACGAGATACAGATGGCAACGTTATAAGCTATCGAGCTCTAAGACCAGACGAAATCGCAGAAGCGCGGAATATTATTCATGGCTGGATGTGCGAAAAGCTCGAGAAGAGATTGGAGGGAGTTGACGGGAGAAATGTTACAGATACGGAGCAACTGATGCATCCTGGGGAAGGTCTCATGCCGAATTTTGAAGATGGGATATAGATGGGGCCATGGGTAGAACAGGCTTTTGGTATTACCAAAGCGGTGGCACAGATCATCACCACGATCTGTCGCTCCTCGTCCATTGATGCAATTGAAAAGGTCTATCAAGCGATCAGATCGTTCAATCATCGATTAAATATTAGATATACATCATCGGATCGGTTCCTGTTTGTAGGTGCGGATGTACGCATCAAGAATTTGCTCCTTACGTCACCATTGCCGGGTGCCGGTCGAATTTGTCAACAAAGTCTAGACGCCGTGTATAAGATAAGCCGGCGTCAACGATGACATCCGAACTTTCAGGACTGCTGAATTCTATAAAATGCACCGAGGACTGAGTTTGCTTTGGCGGCAATTTGGCATTACTCGCGCAACAGCTCACTCTGGCCTAAACACAGTGCCCATTGCATCTAGCATCTACTGCAAGAACGACCCTCACCAAGACTTCCACCACAGCGTCGCAAAAATGTCCAATTTCGACAAATTCAACGGTAATACGGCTGACAAGCCACCCAAGAACGAAATGGTCTATCTTCCCGGCGTGATGTCGCCCAATCGAAAGTTTGGCGTGTTCCGCAAAGTTCTACATACAGGCTTGTACTCCCAGTTCGTTGCCATGGAAGTGCCAGTGAATGGAGAGATTGGAGATGAGGTTCGTCTTTTGCATTCAGCCTTGATTGGCTTGATGAAAGGCTAATGGCCACTTAGGTTCATACTGTCGACCAAACGCTCATCTTCACACACGGCAAGGGAAAGGCTATCGTCGCTGGAAAGGAACAGGAGATCAAGGAGGGCGATGTTGTCATCGTTCCTGCAGGCACTCAGCACCAGTTCCTTAACATCGGCGACGTTCCCTTGGAATTGGTGACAGTTTATGCGCCTGCCGAGCATTATCCGAGTACTGTGCATCAGACCAAGGCAGAAGGAGATGCACAGGAAGAACGGGGCGAAGATGAGGCACCGGAATGGAGTCAGCGAAGCAAGGCCGAAAATGAGAAGCTGGGACTAGTGAAGGGGGAGTGAGCGTCTATAGAATTCCTTGACTAGCCTCCTTGTGTTCCAGCGACAACTTTATTTAATCTGATCAATTGTTTATTTGCGGCTTATTTTGAATTAATGCATTCTAGGAGTAAAGTTCACCAAGACATCGTATTCTTGCTCTGGAGAAGGGGCATCTTGGATGGACACTTCAGCGTAATTGAATGGATGCAACTAAGGATATATTAGCCTGGACCTCTACAGACCGTCAACTGCACTTACATCAAACTTCCAGATGATCAGAGCAACAGCACGCTTCAATTCCAGCCAGGCAGCTCGAGCTTTCGTAGCATTTGGCATATTCGATCGAAGAACCAACAATCCTCCCTCCATCCGTTTCCGTTGCCGTTGGTCCAAGTCTGCCTGTAGCCATCTCTGAGGCTGGAAAGAAGAGACGTCTTCTCCATAGATGGCACGATTGTTTCTTATAGAATCTGAATGAAATTGAACAACCGTTCCTTCAGGAAGGTAATGTCCCGAGACTTCTACACCCCCCGCAGGAACATCCCTTCGATAATTAAATCCCATGACAAGTCGCATCGATTCTTTCATGACAGCATCCAGGAATTGTAGGACGTGTGATTCCATCTCTTGCTGAAGAATATCGGATAAGGCCACCTTGCGAAATGCCATGTCTACCTCGTGCTTGAGTTGAGACATAGCCGTAGGGCGCTTTAACAAATGGAGAAACACTGAAACGAACGCGGCAATCATGCTGTCCGCTCCGTTTACAGTCACAGAGGCGTCTGGATTACCATATCCACGGGTTTCTGCCCGCGGGAATGTTCTTTTGCCTGTCTCCGGCAAAACGTGAAAGGTAGACGCATCGTTCCACCCGGAATAGGGCCCTGTGCAAGAAACCCATGTTAGGCTATTGTTTCGTTTGCGCTTTAGCTTCGCAACTGGGCTCTTAAACATAATATAGTCCAGAGATGTTGTAAATCGGCATCTATCCGTGTGGTTTGATCCGGTACCCGTTGGTGCTGCTCGGTCATTGGCCAGGTCGTCCACAAACATGCGTCCAACAATGTCTGTCGCGAAGCTTCGGAACACAGCCAGTTTCAAGGTACGTTGTTTTCGAATCGCTCTGAGGAAGTCGAGAACCAGGTCCTTGGTTTTATCATGGTGTTGAAATTCGTGGTCTCTCCGCTCGTTTTGGTAAAGAAGATCATTGCATTTGAGTCGAGCATTGACAGTCCCTCCTTCTGATTCATCCACATAACTATCAAGGAACAACTTCAGAAATCTCAGCATATAGTCCATCAACTTGGGGAGGAAAGTGATGAGTACCTTTGACCTTCGTGGACAAGTAGCATCCAGCCAGTAAACGGTGGAAGGGTCAGAGATGCTGACCGTCTTCGGCCCTATGCGAACGACCTCACCATATTTGCGGTGAAGACGCTCCAAGCGATAAGCATATCGTGGTGATGATTTGAGACACACCCACCAAATTTCAGAGAGACCCGCAAGCAATGGGCCGGGAATTGAGTTTAGCTGCGTATAGTTCCACAAGGCGCCGACGAACACGCAGAGTATCAATATTAAAACCGCAAGCAAAGCCATTTGCCTGGGACATCTTTCGAAATAGAGCTTGAATCATAATTGTGAACTTTGTTCTCCTTTGAGAAATCAGTAACGAACCGGCTTTGGGGGTCGAGGAAACGACTTACCGTGACAGCGCTCATCCTTGCTTCTTAACCGCGATATCCCGAACCAAGAAAAATAACCGGGCAAAGGGCAGTGGCTCATTCGTCCCCAACAAAGGCCTTAAATTCTCAGAGCCTCTCGATCAAAGGTTCCCAGCATCACAAGTAAGCCTAGGTACTACGTTATTGGTCAGCTTTTCTTTTGTCTTATCGGATTGTTCTGTGGGTGAAGTCATGTCCATCTCAAGCTCCAACTGGATTGATTGGTCGTGCCCCATTTCTCCATCGGGCCGACGGCTTATCAGCTCCCACGCTGCATGACACAAAGCAACCATCAGGTTAATGCGGGGACTCTGGAGAAGCCCTCATTGATTCGTGAGTAAAAGGAGAAAAAGAAAATATCTGCAAGGATTGCCAAATACGAGAAGAATCTCAGCCTCAAGATCAGCAGTGTGAGTGTCCAACGAGATAAAACTGTTAAAACGAGCCGATCCGGAGAAGAGAGATTCGTGGGGTCATGAGACGACAGTCGGCAAACAACGCATAGTCGTCGTCAACCTCAATCGCATACATATTCGAGTCCTTGAGCTCACTACTAAGCTTTTAATGCCTCTGCTGTGAAGGAAAAGGCAATCGAACAAGATCAACAGTATAATTATGTTCTGTCTTTGACAGCCACCAGTACCTCCCAATGGCGCAAGGGAAAACTCGAAGTGGGTTGCAGAACCGATCAATAGACAGGTCGGGAAATACGCGCTCAGTTATAGCGTGCGTGATGTTGACCAGATGTTCTGCAGAGACCTGCTGACGACTATGGCAGATGCAATCGATGTCGAGGCAGAAAGACGCGATGTGCTGGCACTCCACCCTATCCCTGTGCTGCATGTGAGGATGCAGGACACATATGTGTGTATTCTGAAGCTGAGAAGCGCGTGTCGATACCTGAAAGGTGAGCAAGACCACGCGGACCAGGAGGGACCCGGAGATATAAAGGAATAACCACCTGGAAGGCGCAAGGTGCTAACCGCAGTGGTACCTGAAACAGCTACCTGCGTCAGCTTCAGTCGCAAGCTAGAGCTGCAAGGCAAGGGTCGGATCACAGTCTTCCACCTCTGTCATCGCACTCCACTCCAAGCCAACCTACCCCGTATAGCAACGCAAGTGAGAGCACTCCGCCTAATCGAGATGACTGGTGGTATAATGGAACGGATAATCTTTTCTTAAATCGATCAGGAGAACATCGTATGTCCAATAGATTGCATCATCCATAATATCAGCTAACCACCCTCAGACTATGTTGGCCCTGCGGCGGCGGTCGCGCTGGCCAAACGACTACATCCTTCATCGTCCAATCTCGCATGGGACGTGCGTCCTCTGTACGATGACCCTTCGTCTCTGCACCGTTCCGTCAGTCGGGCTCTCCCGCAGCTACCACCATTCGAATTCGCCAAGCGATTGTTCTGGGTGCAATATGCCTATATCGGAACTATCTTTTCCCTGATACAGCCTGAGGACTTCGAAGAACGACTCAAAATCGTCTATCATCACCCTCCTGACTGCTCAAACCGAGAGTCATGTCTTGTTTATTGCCAAGTCCTGCTTGTCATTGCCTACGGGCTGATGTATTCAGTAAATCAGTGGTCCGGAGATGATGGCCCGCCTGGCTTCAAGTACTTTAAGCATGCCTTGCGTTTTCTGCCAGACATTCATGAGGAAGGCTCGATATTTTTCGTCGAGGTCTTATGCTATGTCGCTTATTACATGCAGAATCTGAACCGGCGGGATGCTGCTTTTCTATACGTACGCATTCCATTTGGTACAATCCCATGATGGCCCGCTGACATGAATTGCAGATTGGCCTCGCTCTTCGCATGGCTATCTCTTTAGGACTCCATCAGGAGGTGTCGCATCCCGACGTTAGTGATGCAGATCGCTATCGACGACGGCGAGCCTGGTGGTCTGTGTACAGTCTTGACAGGTACTGCTGCATGCAACTTCTCAGAACGACATTACTAACATGTTACAGGTTACTTTCTGTCAAGTCCGGGAATCCAATCACGATTCAGGATGAAGACATTGGGACAATGTGGCCGATACCCGAAGTATGACTCCTAAACCTCATTCTCTTCTTTTTCTTTCCGTCATTTATGATGATGACTCATTACTAATCGTCAGCAGGGCGGTTCAACAGCAGTTCCGTGGCCGTCTGTCGTTCTCACTCATTACACCCAACTGTCACGCATTCTAGGCAGAATTGGAGAAGGTGAACCCCTCAAACTAGGCCGTCCAATAGCCATGCTGACCTGCGGTACAGAGATCTACCGCAAAAAACCTCGATCCGGGTCTAATCTCCTGGCATCCGTGCAGAGCATTACAAATGACCTGTCTGACTGGCTCCGACAAGTGCCAGATCGCTTACGCATTGACTTTACCACGCTAGACACGCATATCAATCGCGAATCAGTCTCCATTTTCCTTCACTTTTATTCTTGCATTAACATGACTGCCCGACCCCTAGTCTTCTATGTAATCCAGAGACGCCTGGATGCAGAGACTGGAGGGCCTGCCGCAAATGACTGGAAAGAAGGCTTGTCGCAAAACACAGTTGCCGTCATTGAGAGCTGCATCACCGCAGCTCGAGCCACGACGCTCATCATGGACGCTGCAGCCAGGCACAATCTAGTCGGTACGTTCTTATATCTTCCCTTCTCAAGCCGAGCTTGATGCTCATTGTGAACCGTTCAGCAACCTACGGCTACTTGGATGGCGAATACATCTTCTCTGCCGCTCTGTTGCTGGTCATGGTCAATGCGGCCTTCCCGCACAATGAGACCAATGCCAGAACAATGGATATGGCACTGAATCTGTTGCGCAGCATGGCTGATCGAGGGAATACCTACCTCGGGTCTCGTCACTCCTTGCTGCTAGAACTTCAGGCCTCGATTGGATCTAATCAAGTGGCCGAAAGGGAAATTGATTTCAATGCTCCTGTGACACCTACCAGCAGTCAACAGCGCAGTCCTCCCGAGACCACTATTATAGGACGCGATGATGCAAGGGTCGGTCCCTCAGACTGGCCATCCCAGCAGCATATCACGTTTAATCTTGATATTAATGACGACCCGGGATTGTGGGAAGAGGTCCTTGGTCAGATCGATATTGATATGGACACTGACTGGATTGAGAATACTCTGAGAAGGCAAGACTGATTCAATTGTTCTCGCAATTAGGACTGCTATATCAAGGTTGCGCGCAATACATAGTATGCAATGTTAGTGATGACTCTTTTCAAATATACATGTCAAGACTTGCCATGGGATCTTCTCTAATTGTGACCACAACTTTATAAGGTGATGAGCCATGAATATTTTTAGCGCTACATTCAGAGTTTGGGAGTCCCTCCTAATTCATATAAGAGATCCCATATAATTATCCCTTCCCATATAATATTACTAGTTTGGGAGTCTCATCATGATTTAGATGAGCTAGGAAATCCCATAGGTCGTATCAGCTAACACAGCACAATGAGTGGAGATCATTAATAAGTATCTCACTAGTACTCCGTACTAATCTAAACACCAGTGCACTGTTCGACCAGTTCATGACCTATCCTATCCAATCGTAGTACTGGTGTATGCACCAGTCATTGCGGGTGATCAGTGTTAATAATGATCGACAAGCACCAGTCCATACCCACTTGGCTATCCTTCAAGGCAGTGCCCCTTTCTGGCCAAGCACTTATCTCCGCAGCCCTACTTTTTGGCTAGGGCCCCTGGGCCACTTCGGCCTAGTTTCCCCCACAAGAGTGTCCTTACAGAAAGGCTTCCTTACAGAAAGGCTTACAAAGGCCTACTTCATGGGGGCCTATACTCGAGAGGATTAACGCGTTCGCCTTCTATCTTCCCATTAATTTGATACCCGAAGGCCGCATTTCGATTGAGACACTGGGAGAAGAAGTGGGTCTTCCACGCACGACCACAACGTGCTAGGACAATCGGACTATTAGTGGGTCTTTCAACGCAGAACCGCAACATGCTAGAACAATCGGACTATTGTCCCGCTAAGGTGGATCGAGCAAGCGATTGGCATCCTGCTAATATTTCTGCGCAACCCGGCTGCAGTTCAAAAAGGGGCCAATGGCGCGTGGAACCATGTATTTTCTCCCGGTGCCGCGCAGTACGTCTTTGACTCCGCCCTTGCGCAATGGGCAATACCACCAGTATCGCCGCTGGGCGTGACTGTTTAATATCCGCCGTTGGGGGTAATGCCGCTCATGTCGCTTTCCAAGATCAGCTGTTGTACCAGGCTACCGCAGTCGAGCCATACAACTTGAATATCCCGATCACTCCGGCCGCAATCACATACCCTCAATCAGCGGACGAGATAGCTGCTGTGGTGAAATGCGCCTCTGAATATGGCTACAAGGTGCAAGCTCGCAGTGGCGGACACAGTTTCGGCAATTATGGTATGTATGGCCGGTTACGGCGGTAGTTCTCAGCCTCCGACGTGAAGACCACTAATCGTACTCTGTTCTAGGCCTTGGAGGAGAAGATGGTGCCATTGTGGTCGAAATGAAGCACTTCTCCCAGTTCTCCATGGATGAGTCGACCTATATCGCGACCATCGGACCTGGAATTACACTAGGCGACCTCGACACCGAGCTGTACAATGTGGGCCATAGAGCAATGGCCCACGGTATCTGTCCGACCATTCGGACAGGCGGCCACCTGACGGTGGGCGGACTGGGTCCGACAGCGCGCCAGTGGGGTCTGGCGCTCGATCACGTTGAGGAAGTTGAGGTCGTGCTAGCGAACTCGAGTATTGTGCGTGCGTCGGATACTCAAAATCAAGATATTTTCTTCGCCATCAAAGGTGCTGCTGCCAGCTTTGGGATAGTCACCGAGTTCAAAGTGCGCA